ATACAAAACTGATAAGAAAAAACTAAGACGAAACAAAAAAACATCAAATTTTAAATGTAACGCAGGGAATTCTGGGAATGTCAATATACTGTTATGTCTTTTTCACTTCCAAAAATGGTATACTACCGAAAAATTACATGTCCAATACAGTTTTTCACCGTATATAGTCAATAGTAGGGGAATTTACCGTTAACCATTTAACAGGTTTTACTGTAGCATTTTTACAGTATTTTACTGTTAAATTCACGGTCATTTTTTACAGTACATTCTCTTCACACTCCATCACAGTAGGTGGCGGTATGCACCTGTGAAGTTGGTTCGCAACCCGCCATCAAACCAAAAGAAGAAGAGGCAGCAGAAGCCCCGCCCACTCGCTTCCGCCCGCTGCGGCTCCCGTCACTGATCTCCGTCCGCCATCTTCATCAGCGCGGCACTGTGTTCGTCTCGGAGGCTTTGAGCTGCAGAACACGCCGTCCTATAATCCGGTACACCGTACGAGCAAACTACACGTCTTCCAGAATGCAGGCCGAAGAGCAAGGCGACTTCAGCACCGACGAGTTCCCAGAGGGCTCCAAAATAAACGCCAGTAAAAACCTGCAGGACGACGGGTGAGTCCGGAGCGAGGCCTTCGCCGCGCGGGACAGTCTTCCGCTCCTCATGCGCAGTGCGTCGTTCCGGACGCCTGTATCATTAACATGCGCTATATTAAACAACATCGAGCTCAGGATGCTCGAAACCTTCCCGCGTCTAATGGCTTGAAGTTTAATTTGCGTATCTATCTGTCTGTCTATCTATCTATCTATCTATCTATCTATCTATCTATCTGTCTGTCTGTCTATCTATCCATTTCTCTCTATCTGTCCATCCATCACGTGATCTGCATGTACACAACACCTGTCTATCATCTTGTCTTATCTATCTGTACACGCACACACACACTCTCACACACACACTCTCACACACACACTCTCACACACACACTCTCACTCTCTCACACACACTCTCTCACACACACACTCTCACACACACACTCTCACACACTCACTCTCACACACACTCTCTCACAC